AAAAAAAAAAAAAGTAAACATTTACTACTTCCTTCTATACTTTCTGGGTTAACCTATGTTGTTTTAGTCATCTATTTTGAGAGCCTCATCTTCAAAAGAATACAAAATCATTTATGCTCCTATCAGAAGGCAGCCAAATAAAGATAGCTAATCTCTACTGAGTGTTGAAAATACTCTGATCCTGTATAAACACTTCAAATGTATCATTTCATTTATCTTGTAAAACAATCCCATGAGAAAATATGACTTAGTCCCATTTAACAGATAAAGGGACAAGTTCAGAGAGGATAATTAACCTGCACAACGACTGAGCCAAGACTTGAATTGCGGTTTGACTGCAGGGCGAGTGCTCTCACCACTACTGACCAAAAGCTGAACCACATACGAATTCTTACTCTCCCTTAATAAATTAGGCAAGTTACTTGGTTTTCGTAAGGTTCAGCTTTCTTGTCTGTGAAATAAGCAGTACACTATATGTATTCTTGAAAAAATTGTTGATAGTAAGATTTTATATATATATGTATGACAAATGTATAGGAAATAAGAATTATCATTGCTTTAGTTATATTACTGTTTTGTTATATCATTGTTATGGTTACTTGTCTGATGCCTCAATAGTTTATGATTTTTTTAAATTTTATTATTAAAAGTGGATGTTATTCTAATTCTTGATTCCTTTTCTGCAGGCAAGAAACTCAAAATTAACTAATAAAATGTACAGTTACTAATTTTCATTCTAAGATCTTTTTTTTTTAACTTTCATAGGTATATGGCGATATTGAGTATTGTAGCATCATTAAGAATAAAGTCACTGGAGAAAGTAAAGGTTTGGGTTATGTTCGATATTTAAAACCATCACAAGCTGCCCAGGCAATAGAAAACTGTGATCGAAGTAAGCATGTGTTTGTTTAATATAACTAAAGACTTATAGAAATGCTTGATCACTTTTAATAACTGAACCTAATACTGGTTTTTGTTAATTTAATCTAAGTGATGGGAGTTTAGATATATATCATCCTAAAATAATGATTTTGGGACTGGGTTTAAATTTTGGGGGGCTCTGCTTTGGAGAGAAATGTGAGCAGCTGTCTTAATCTTGTAAGTGAAAATGCTCATTTTTAAAGAATAAAATTTATTGTTTGCTAGCATAGGTAACTAAATATACATAGGATTAGTTTCAAGCTAGAGTGACCTGAATTAAATTTCCTATGGTTGCTGTTATCCAAAATGGAGAATAAGAATTTTCAAGAAGTCAAGAGGTATACTGTTTGTTTCCATACTTACAGTTATATTGATCATTAGCGATGAAATAAGGGATAAATTATAAAAATCTGTACATACTAGAAAGAATTACTATTTATCAGTAGAATTCATAAATGATTCTAAGGTACTCACCAAAATTTTCTTTCACAGCCTTCTAAATATTTCAACCAACCAACATTAACTGAGTGCTTATGGTAGCTTCATTATTATGTCAAATAGAGAAATATAAAGGCATCTAAGTAATTTCTAGCCATTTGAATAGCATAGGCCTAGTAGGCAAATGGTAATTAAGGCTCTTTGAAAGCAAGAATATGTCTTGTCTTTTTCTGGTATCCCAAATACCTAGTGCATAGTAGACCCTCAGTATTTATTGAAGTCTCTAGCAAAGATACTGCCAATTATAATAGACTCAACAAAAATATATCAAATGAAGGTGTTCAAAAGGGCATAGTACCGTGTTATCAGCCTTGAAAAAGAAGTACACAAAATGAGCATGGAAACACATTGGAGGTAGGATTTGCATCTAGTGAAGAACTGGCAAGACAGATTGTAAAAGCAGTATTGACATAGGCACAGAGCTAGAAATTAATATGCCTTTGCTCAGCACCATGAAAGCAACAGTCTGAGGAATTGCAAGACCAAGTTTAGTAGCTACAGTGGAAAAATGACAGGTTAGGAAAAGCACAAGCCTACTTCATATAAGATTCTTCATATTTTAAAAGTAGAAAAACAGGAAACAGATGATGGTTGAAACAAGAATGGATTTCCGAGAAAGAATACTAGTTAGTTTTTCTTTTTGGACTCACTGAATAAAATGATGAAAGCTATGAATCCTCTCCCATGAATTATGCCCATTTGCACATATATGCATAAACATTTTGTTTAAAAAGGTACATAGAACCCCTGTCATCTTTTGGAGCTAATCCATAGACCCCTGTCTAAAACCCTTAGTCTAGAGACAAAGCAATTCAAACGTTGTGGTTAATTGAAGAGAATATAAATTAGATAGAGAGTCAGGAAAGTTAAAGTGAAAGAAAACATTCTAAGTGTATTTCAAAGAGAGACTCTTGATAAAGAATTAAGAAATGCTTGTAGAATTTTGATGTTGAGATGCTAGGAGAATAAATGACCATACCATCTGAAGTAGGGGGAGATTGAGAGGTTAATCTTGCAGTTACTGATCTTTCACGTCTACATTCACTCATAATTTGAGATCTTTCTATTTCTCATTTACTCTGTCTTTTTCAGAGTAAAGAAGCAGGTCTGGTAGAGATGGCCATTGTCTAGATGTTTTTTATGCAGTTACATTTATAAAGTTAAGTCAAGCACTAGCAATTAAGGTATATTTGCAGATACGTTAAATTTGCTGTGAAGTTTGAAGTTGATGGATTTTTTTTCAGGTTTTAGAGCTATCTTGGCTGAACCTAAAAATAAAGCATCTGAATCCTCAGAACAGGATTATTACTGTAATATGAGGCAGGAAAGTCTGGGACATGAATCTAGAGTAAATATGTTTCCATTTGGTAAGTAAGCACCCTTTATTTTATTATTATTATTTTTAAAGTTTTATTTATTCAAACAGAACTGGGGTACAGGCCAGAGTTGCAGAGGGTGAGAGGATTCACCAGGGACAGAGTGGGTAGCAGAACAGGCAGATCTACGAAGTACATTGCTGAGGGGAGCAGCGGGCCGGTCAGGAGAGGTCTGCTGCGCCACGTGGATCTCCTCCGGGGCAGGCGGGGATCAAACTCATGAGGAAGTGGCTTAAGCTTCTTAGTGCAGTGCTTTAACCCCCTGCGCCACCAGGGAGGGCCCCCCCTTTGTTTATTTATTTCTAATGATAACTTTTTCCCATGGTTTGCAATATCTCAAATGAATATGTCACTAACACATATATGGGTTAGTTCCTTCCTCTATGCAGCTGAACACAAAGTAAAGAAAGATAAACATGTATCTATCTTCTCACTAACAATCCTAGAATTTTAACCCCGAAATACTGTTGCTTCAAAATTGGACCTAGATTAAAAAAAAAGAGGAATGATAAAATAGAAGCTAAAAAGGGAAAAGCTAGTGATAAAAGTAATAAAAAGCTTTGAGGTAAAATACCTGCCACATTTTACATTTTTGTATACTAAAAATATTGCTGTGAAATTAGATACACATTGCTAGATACACATTGCTGCTTGTATTTCTGTGTTGGAAGTTGGGGGTTGGAGTTGTCTGTTTTCTCATCATTGGTCCCCTATGGTGCGATGACCAAGAGCATCCTACAGAATGCAGTGCCTTTTCTCAATGCTGTGGGCTTATTGACAGTTCGTTTTTATTTTCTAGTACCTAAAATAATTTTTAAAAAAATTCTCGAATGTATAAAAATGTAGATTTACTTTTTTTTTTTTTGTATTGGTAAAGAACAACAATCTGAATTTTCAAGTTTTGACAAGAATGACAACAGAGGCCAGGAAGCTATCTCCAAGCGCCTGTCAGTTGTATCAAGAGTTCCTTTCACTGAAGAACAGCTTTTCAGCATTTTTGATATAGTGCCAGGATTGGAATATTGTGAAGTTCAACGAGATCCTTATTCAAATTATGGTAAAATTTTGTCTAGATTATTTTAAAATATATTTGTTTTGTAACATGGCTTTTCTCCAAGTGGCACTTTTTATGTCACAGCCTATCTATATGATAATATTGCAATTGGAATTTATGAATTAGTTATTTGATTAAGCCTACTTACTATCTAGTGTTAGCTTAATATATTTTTGTACTTTGTTTTTGAGATTATATTTTAAGACCTTTTTAAAAATGTAGACATAGTGAATAAAAATTGCATTCCATATTGTCAGCTGGGAATCCCACATAAAAAGCTCTGAGACCTTGACAAATTGTTTATCATCTCTGAGCCTCTCTTCACTGATAAATGGGATTATTAGTATTCTCTATGCCAGGGTAGGTAAGAATTGCAAGTAATATATGTAAAATACCTAATGCAAGTAATAGCACATAGTAGACACTTAGTAAATATTTGAATTTGTTGACATTTTTAAAGAATTGGAGGTGAGGGCTAATACAGGGTCCATATACAACTCCAGTAATAACATCCCCCCTAACTAAATGCTCTCCAAAGGAATGCTAAATATATAATTCTAGTCTGAGTCTCTGCACCTTACTTATAGTCTTCATTTATGTCATTTTTCTTCTCTACCACTGTAGCTAGCCAAAATGACTACATATTCTTTTCAGATATCACTTCTCATTTTACTTCCTACACAGAATGATAGGAAAAAATTTTAAATTTAAGAAAAGTTGGTCCGTTTTTAGATATGTATATAAGAAAAGCCAATGTCCTAAAATTAAATTCATTAGACAGAACTTGTGATATTCTACTTTTCTTAAAATATGTTCACACATTACCAAAATCTAATTTGTACTTTATTATGTAGAACACAACTGTTGCACACATCTCTAAGAGACACCTTTGTTTTTCATTTGTTTCTCTTTATTGTGCGATGTAGGAAATTTCTCCATGGTTTCGTTTTTGAGGCAATACAGTCTTTTCAAGTATTCATGCTACTTTTAATTCCTGGGTATTATTTACTTTGATTTAGGTCATGGAGTGGTACAATACTTCAACGTAGCATCAGCCATTTATGCAAAATACAAATTACATGGATTTCAGTACCCTCCTGGGAATCGAATAGGTGTTTCCTTCATTGATGATGGAAGTAATGTAACAGAGTAAGTACCATTCCAGGAGTATCTAAAGCCACTCTTTGGGTGTAAATGGTTTTGACTTGAAGAATAAAAATAGAAAAATATTGACCTCTCAGATGAAGAAGTGACATAAAGCAAGTTACTATTAAGGGACAATATTTGTAGCTTTCTATAAATTATCAGTTACTATCTCCAGTCTCCTTAGAAAAATGGCAACGCAGATGGTAGCTGCACAGCTTGCATCAATGGTGTGGAATAATCCAAGTCAGCAGCAATTTCTGGTAAGTAGGTAAGAATTTAACCTTTACAATACTTCAACAAGGTAGAAAATTATTGTGCCTTTTGTTGATTACCTATGTAGAAAATTTTCAGGATTAAGGTAAAAGACCATGTAGGTGATATGATACACATCTGTCTTAGCTCTTGGCTTAAAATCCCTGAAGTGCAGTTTTTCTTTTTCTCACTATGTGCCTAACTCTTTAACAGCAGTTTGGAGGAAGTTCTGGATCACAGTTGCCTCAAATCCAGACAGATGTTGTACTTCCATCATGCAAAAAAAAAGCCCCTCCTGAAACTCCTGTGAAGGAAAGACTTTTTATCGTGTTTAATCCTCATCCTTTACCTTTAGATGTATTAGAGGATATATTCTGGTAAGATTTCAGTTCCACAAAATCATGTTTTATAGTATAATATGTTTAATTAGGCATTCTCACAGTCTTGAAACTTCCTATCCAGTAGAGATGATTTATTCTCTGGTTTAAAAAAGTCCTTTATGTCACCTTTTAAGATAGATGATCATTTCCTTCTCTTCAGCATTCATATATCTTAAGTCTCTAGATAAAGTTTACTTTTATTTTTCTTTTGAAGACATAAAACGGATGGTTTTGGAGAGTTGTTTGCATGGAATGAACAAATGACTTGTTTCTTGATAGAAGATAATTTGGCATAAATCTGTCTAGAATTCTTTCCATGTATCTTTTTCATTATAGTTACAGTTCAACTAAAGTGTTTAAGAAAAAAGAGAAAGCCCTTGTTAATTTGTTTTCAACCTCTTTCCTTAACTTTTTCTTTTTGATCTTTTCCTAGTATGCTTTAGTGATTTGAAAAGGTAAATAGAAAGCCTATTAAAGAGCTGCGCAGAGTATCATGGATGTGTTTCAAGTATTTTGATTAATTTAGTTTATTTCTCGTGCCTCTCCTCTGTGTTAGACAGGCACTGATTAGAGCCATTGTGTAAATAAAACTTCATTATATAAACAAACATAATAGTCTTTGTCTTCTTAGAGCTAATTGTCTATATAGCTTCTTTCAGCTAGTTATAGAGATGGACAAGTAGTTTGGAAATTACAACCGGTTGAGATTAGTATTGTGAAAAAGAAGGTACAAGCTATGAAATGCAAAGCAGGGGTGTACTGACTGTAGAAACTCTACTTCTAAAAAGAAGTAAGACATTCCCCCTCAAAAAAGAAGTAAGACCTTTCCGTTTAGACCTGAAAGATAAAGATAACTCAGCCAGGGACAAAAGTTGGAAGTGGGTTTTTCTTACCAGAGAGAATACAACAAAGGTCATCAGAAAATAGAATTTGAGAAACTGAGGGAAGATGAAGCTGGAGAGAACAAGAATCTTGTCAAGGAAAGCCAGAGAGCAACTTTAGTTAAGTTTGTCCTTAAAGCAATGAGGATGGCCTTCCTGGTGGCACGGCAAGTTAAAGCACAGCACTGTGAAGGTACTGAAGCTATTGCAGTATGAGTTCGATCCCCAGCCAGGGGGGTGATGACCTACATGGTGTGGCAGACCTCTCCTGTCTCCCTCACTGTTCCCCTCAGCAGTATATTTCAGTATATCTGCCTGCTCTGCTCCCCACTCTGTCTCTGATGAATCCTGTCACTGCCCCTGCCCCTCTAGCCTGTACCCCAGTTCTGTATGCATCAATAAATAAATCTTTTTTTTTAAAAAAAATCCCTTAATCAGCTCCTCATTGCTTTATTTTTTTAAATAAAAAGATTTATTTATTTATGTATACAGAACTGGGGTACAAGCCAGAGGTGCAGGGGTGCAGAACAGACCAGCTGACGAAGTACACTACTGAGGGGAGCAGTGGGCAGGCCAGGAGAGGTCTGCCGCACCTTGTGGGTCACTCCGGGGTGGGGATTGAACTCACCATGTTGAAGTGGCTTTAGTTTCTTAGTGCTGTGTTTTAACCCACTGCGCCACCAGGGAAGGCCCAGATTAAGGGATTCTTAAGGAAGAAATAACCATATTGGTATCTTCGAAAGATCAATTCAGAAGTAGAGTAGGAAGAGCAGTTTGGAAAGGAGCAGGCTCAGAAGTCATGGAAACTAGTAAAGAAGGTATTAAACTAGTAAAGAAGTTTACCTAAGGAAAAGATGATGGTGATGCATGGGAAGAGGAAAGAGACCTGAATGAGAATGAAGAGAATTTAACTGATTGAGGAGATATTTAAGAAAACTGAAATGAGATATTGAATGTGGGAAAAAAAGTAAAAAAGGATTTCAGAATGGATTCCAACCTGTAGACCCAGGAGCTATATTCATTAATTTCAGTTAATTTTTTTGTTTGTTTGCTTTGTTTCAGTCGTTTTGGTAACCTGATTGAAGTTTACCTTGTATCAGGAAAAAATGTGGGGTATGCCAAGTATGCAGATAGAATAAGTGCTAATGATGCCATCACTACCTTACATGGGAAGATTCTCAATGGAGTCAGACTTAAAGTTATGCTGGCAGATTCCCCAAGAGAAAAATCTAACAAACGACAAAGAACTTACTGAATCCTGAGGTAAGCCTTTTTAAATTTTAATTTCAAAATACACTGGCAAATAGCATAGCACAGAGTTTCTTTTTAGAGATTTAGAAGATGTCAGTTAAAAATACTATCACTTCAAACTTTGTTGATAAAACCTCTTCGCTCAGGAGTTAATTTCGTAATACCAAAAAATTCTTTTTGATGTTTACTGGAAGAATGTGTTTACCTACCTATAAAATAAAATGGGATTTTAGTTTTACAAAATTACTGTTTGTCAATGTATTAGATACTAAGAATTGAATTTTTTACTATATGCTTTACATAAAATTGAAAGCTGAAAAATTTCATATTTTTAATTTTAACAATAAATGTCTTGAATTATGAATTAAAGTCTTTATAAGGAATGTTTTGACTTCTCACTAATAAAATACCTAAAACACAATATCAAATAGCAATTTTTTTTTTTTGGAGCTATGAACCTTTATGTTGGTGTCTCTCTGGTCTTACATTTATGTTTGTACATCAGAACTACAGTTTTCAGAAAATACTCTCATGAGTATATGTATGTGGAAAAACTATACCAATTTATCAAAAACTTTTGCCTGTTATAATGTTGCACATACAACCACATAATTTCCTTTTTCTTTCATTAGTTTTTAGAAATTGAACTTAAATTTATCACAGTTCATATCTCTTTCTGTTATTCCAATTTTAGCATATGCACTGAAGCAAGCACACATCTCATTGGCTTGGAAACATTCTTTAAATTTGGAAATGTTCAGCATTTCCACTTTATAATTTATAGAAGATAAATTCTGAGTTTGAAGGAAAACTTAACCTTGACTAACACACATAGTACCCAAGTCCACTGCTATTCAAACAGTGGCAGTTGGCAAGAACTTGAAATGCCACAGTTTCTGGCTTGAAACTTTTCCCTTCAAGTTTTTCTCTTTCCTTCAAATTTTCTTTCTGATTAGTTATAAAATTCAGCATGTATCAGACTGAATTGACTGTGTTACTGCTGATGACCTTTCCTCTATTAATAAACAAGCCTGTGATTTTTAGTTCTTCTTTCCTAGATGACAATTAGCAATGGGGAGTTCCCACTGAACCCATTATGAATAAAACCTAGTTAGAAAAGTTTTAACTATAAAAACCATTCCCATTATGCCATACAATGTGGAAATACTGAATTGCCAGTAAAAAAGAATTAGCAAGTATTTTCTCATAACAAAGCAGGTGTTAGTGTTTACAAATAAAATGTTAAGAACTGAATTCTGTTTTAGACAAGCCAAGTAGATGGCACGTAAAATGTGTTTATATGTGAATATTTCAGTAATGTGGGAAACAATCCTATTCAAAGAATCTTTATCCTTAAAAAGACAGTAAGACTAACTTCTTCATATAGGAAAATATATGCTACTCTTGTTGCAGAGCCTTGCCTAATAATTGTTTATATAGGTAGGGAATATTAGACTTAAAATTCAGAAGATCTGGGTTAGAATTCCAGCTATTTCAGCTATGGTATTTAACTGTCTATGATTGGGCAAATCTCTTCACCTTCGTGAAGCCAAGGTTTTTTTCATGGGTCAGTCAACAAAATCCTTTTTTAAAAAAATGCAAGTATGAATTAGAAGTCTTTCATTGGTAACTTCAGTGAAACCTTTGAATTGTCACTCATCAAAATGACCAGAAACTAAAGGGTTATGATAAAAAATCTTCATGTGAGAATGAAGCTTCACAGTATCACATTTTCTGTAAAGATACAAAGTATCACATCTCTGTAAAGATGTTATGCATTCATCCTAATCCTTACTTTATGGAAAGTGCATATTCTTCATCGTGACTACTTGTGAAATTTATCTTCTTCCCTTTTATTAAATCCACATTTTTGGGCAAAGATACAGTAGCATCAGATTAGTTGAAAACGATAGGGTATATTTAACCCATTGATTTTAAGAATCATCTAGTTACAGCACAGTTTATTTTTTTACTGCGATCTTCTTTTTACCTTGGACTCCTTAATAAATTTCTCTTCCTTTGCTGGTACATTAAGTAAATGTACTTTTTTAAGATTCAATAAAATAGAGTAGAAGCTTTCCCAAATTGCAGTAATGGTGCAGTAATTAAAGTTTGGTGGGAGGCACTTTTTTTTAATGCAATTACTTTCAAGAGAACACAAACACTGTTCAAAAGGGCTAATTCTTTTTCTAAGGAACAAGTCTAAGAATAAGTGGTCTACACCTAAGAAGTATGTGTGGAAACTGTTATAAGAATATAACTCTTAAATTAGTTTTCAGTTTTGAGATGGGTCTACTTGAGGCAAGGAGAAAATTTAGTATTTCAGAACATTCTTATTTTGTATTAACTCACAGCATTTTCCCACCAGAAATTCAGTACCTACTTGTATCATCCTTCTGAGTAAGTTGGTTTTGCTTTTTCAGGGCTACCTATGATTAAGTAAGCAGATAGCATTTGTTATATTGAAATAAAGGAACAATTCCTAACATTTTAGGAATACTATATACAGCAGCTATTTCCTTTCAGGTGATGATTTTCATACTTGTGTTGTGTTCTTTCTACAGAACAAAGACTAAGTAATGACATAATCCTCAGCTGACTGACTGAAAATGTGACTGGACGCACTCCCTGTGGACAGTTGACAGCTTTTTTTTTTTTTCATATACCTGATAGTCTGTGCACAGCATTGTTTTGTCTGGGGAGCAGGGATTGTTGACATGTATTTTTAAATCCATACATTAATGGTAAACAAATATAGTAGTTGTTTCTTAGAGTGAAATGTTGTTATGTATAGCAGAAATAAAGTTTTCTTTGCTTAACTAAATCATGCCTTTTTTATGTGAAAGGTGAGACTGAAATAATTTGATAGTGTTTAGAGTTTGACCACATTACATATCTCATTGATTTTGAGGTGCATTTTTATGTTTCTGATAGAAAAACAACAGTCTTGATAGAGATTGTTTGCCATTGTGTAACTTAGAAACTTAGTAGAACAAAAAAGTGCTTCTTTTAGTCAATTTCATCTTAGATTCAATAAAGATGGTGATCTCTACTCAGCCTATTCATTCAGATTGGCTACTTATTCTAAGGCAAAAGCCAAAAGACATTAGAAATATATTTATTTTCATAGTTTTACCAAAATTTGTTGGTAATTTTATAAAGAATGTTTAAGATAGCAAAGCAATGGTTGATAAAAAAATTTTTAAATATTGTTAATATGTCTCAGTAAGCATAAATAGCTTTGAGATTTGGACATTTTCCCATTATAAATACAGAAATGTAGCTGCTCCCAAAATTTTGACATGTAAGCAATTTTCAAACAGACTATGGTAGGAAAAAATGTCATCTCAGAAAAGTAGGAACCCACTCTGCTCATAGTTTGAAAATCCAAGAAAAATTTTAATCAACTCTTAAGGTGAATGATAGATATCAAAAAAGGTTTTCTAAGTTAAGAATTTGATTCCTTAAAAAGACACAAATGGTATGCAGTTGTTAAAATTACCTTGTGCCTTTCTCATCCTGAGTTAAACTAAAAATAGTGAAAGATTAAACTCATTGAGCATAATAGAGTATTTCATACTTGGACATCTCCATTGAAAAATTAAAATTCTATTTTTAGTCAGTTTTTTTAGTAAATTTAAATAAAAAAAATTTCCAGTCTTTCCAGGTAAGACTTACCGAATGAAAAATGAACCCAATATCTGTGCAAGAGCCAGAGGGCATATTTTAAAAGAAAAGCAAATGTACTCTTTGTAAATGAAGAAGTGAAGCAAAGAAAATTGAGGATTATGAAACATTTATTTATCCCCAGTCACTTCCTACACACACAATTCCAATTCCCAGACCAGAATTATGCCGTATGCGTCATCTGGTCCAATCACTCACTGCTTTCATTCCCCCTCAGTATTCCTATTCTAAATGGTATAAAAAGTTATAAGTAGTCTGATGTTACATATAGCAATAGTAAAAGAAGCCCCCTACTTCCTACCTGAGCCCACTGCATCTTTGATTAATACTCATAATTGACAATCTGATTCCATATAATTTTCATTTATTCATCCTTAATTTTACCCTGGGCCATAGAGAAGTTGAATCTTTCACTTGGTAGCTACCAGATGCCCTTCTGTCCTCCAGATGAAGTAATACCAATTTCTCTATTCATTTAAAGTCAGGCAGGTCCTACAAACAGTTGTGTTTCAGTGAGGTGCTCATCTAAGCTTATTCTCTTGAGTCTTTCATCTAAAGTCTAAAAAGTCTTTATAATAGCTCCCTACCAGTTGATTATCACAATGAGAAGTGGTCACTTTGTCTTTGGCATGCTTTTCACCTCGATCCCCTTGATTATTTACCTCAGTCCTGCATTCCTGTCACTTGCAGTTGATACCTAAACTTTACCTTAAAAGTCAAAATGCACATTTTTCTTAGCATAAGAAAGTTCTAAATATCATTTAATAATCTAGCGCTTATTATCCTTTACCTAAATATTTCTGAAATGCTGCTTGGGTTTAAGAACATGCTTATATACTTAGATGCTGTTCACATAACAGTCAGTAAAATTGCCTACATAGTGGAGTTTTTATTTCAAAAAATGCTAAACAATGCAGGTCATTTCTCTTTCAAATATGTGGATCCAAGTAATAAGTAACATTTAAAATAAGCCTGATCAAAGCTTTTCTGTAAATTCATTTTTCAGTCTTTTTTGATAGATTACAGTTGCTAAGAGCAGCTTTCAAATTTGCTGTTCTTAGAGATCTCATGTCCCAAACTATGTTCCTTGAAATACTGGTGGCTTGAGAGATTAAGTGTTCTTTGAGAAAGAACTTTTTGTTGTCTAATATATTTAGAATATGTTGGGTTATTATTCATTCTATGTTTTTTGATCTTAAAACTTCTCAGTCTTTGATCTGTTAATGAAACCACCACTTAATCTCCCAAAGAAAATATCATATATGTACTGTGAAAAGTGTTGCTAGAAGCACCCTAACTAAAAGGGTACCAAGAAATACATTTTAAGGAAGGATTCTTCTAGACTATCTACTGTTTTTTATTTATGTGGTGTGATGCAGTTTTATTTATACGTTTATTTGTTCCAGACTTTTTTATTCTACCCTAGTAAAAAAATTAATGCAAACTACTTATAAAATTAACACTCAAATTTTTAGGTTTCCCTGAATTTTAATATCCTAATTGGGATCCTCCTATTTAGTGTTAATGATTCAGTGTAAAGACCTTATTTTACCACTAGGTGGTGATAAGCCTTGCTACCCAGAAATAGTTGTGTGTGGAATTCACTGTTATTTTAGGTACTGAGCCTGATTTGTGTTGTCAAAAGTAATGATTCTTAAACCTTGATGTCCACAAGGTTTCTTCAGGTTAGGGGTAGGTTTTTTAACCATTCCCCTACTTGATTCTGATAAGGTGGTCTGGTCATTGACTTTGCAATCTACTGTCTTAAAGAGATGCCATATGTTCAGCTGTAGGCTGGATAGTGTAAGTTGGATATAAGACAGTGAAAAGTTTCAATGTCTTTTTTACTTTTTAGAATTAAGCAGCTAATTTTCCCTTAACATCAATAAGTATGAATTGCAAAAAGAAATTGAAAAATACAAGCAAAATGCCAGGCCAGTTTTTTCATTTAGGCAAATATATTTGATGTTTATGAAGGATAGTAATTATTTATATTTATGCCATTCAAAGCCACCTAATTTTATTTGCATTTATTTTGAAGTGAATTATGTTGATAAATTACCAAAGGTTTAGCTCTATGAAAGTACATAGCTTAATGTCATATTTAAGTGACAGAGAACATAAAAGTTATATAGTTATATCTGTCCAAAGAAATAACATACAGAAAGATTGTGCAGAAATATGTATGCCTAGAGTATATGTGTGTAAGCATTCTTGCTAAAGTGAAATCTCTTTACTTCAATGAAAAATCTGAGGAAAAATAGTGAATCCTCTATAGAACACATCCTTTTTTAAAAAATGAGTCCTTTTTTGTGTACACCCAAACTTATTGATATATAACTTTAACTTTCAAAAAAATCCTTAATAAATACACAAAACTAGAAATGAGTAAGGACAAGAACAAATGAATTATTTATATAATCTTCACACAGAAGTTATACAGGTTTTCTTCCACAGAATTTCCATGGTAAATTATATTATAGCAGTTATTTTTAAATGCTTTCAATCAAGAGAAGAAAAAAGGTGATCCTTATTAGATAAGTCCATTTTAATATCTGATTTCTAACAAATGGATTGCATTATTTCTTTTTCTAGAAACAGTAACTCAAGAACACATGGATCCTGGAAATGGAAGGTATGGTATTACTAGGGAATCATAGTAATACTTAGTTAGAAATACTTAGTTAAATATTTAAAGTATGAAGTTCATTTATACAGTGATAATTCTTTTGACTTTAAAATAGAACTTATCCTCAAGGGGAAATGGCAGCTGTACCTATACTTTAGAAATTTACCAGACTCTGAAAATCCATTTCAGTGGTTATCACAAGAAAAAAGGGTTCTGTGACTGTCATGTATGAATTACAGCTAGTATCAGGGCAGCAAGGTTACATGAGCTAACTAACCTGCAAGTTGACCAAAGCTACAACTGCTGTGTCATCCTTGAGACTTCCTTTCCAACAATACTGCTGAAGTGCTGGAAGGAAGGCATCGGAAGACTATTTTATGAAAAGCAATTGTACTTGAGATCAAGGACAGTGTGAAAAGGTAAGTCCTTTTTTCCACAGAAACTAGGGGAAATATTGAGCACATTAGGATAACCAAAGCTTACTCAGAGATAATCCTATGTGCTGGATTTTCCTGCCACCCTCTACATTGCTGACTTTGTAGGTAAATGATACTGCTACTAACTGATAACTTGTACATACATTATTATTTTCTATCACTAGTGACATGGGTCATGGCATTCCTAGTGCAGAGCTTTTAAGGGTTTTGTTCTGTTATCTTTGGGTGTTTTTTTAAATCCCCCAAAAAGATAAAGCTAAATGCTTTAAACATATCCAATTTAAGTTGTTCGCCAACTTACTGGAAGATCTGCTATGTAAAAATACATATTTTTCTTTTCATCATCAGTGAAGTCTGTAAGTTATATTGGGTTTTGGCCTTAAGAGGTAGCTTTGGCAATCATATTATACTATTGATTCATTGGCACCAAAGACTTCTTTTCTCTTCCACATTAGTACACAGTAACTTAGATGTGCTAATGTGACATTTAGAGGAAGATGGAGAAGGAGATCACTACTTGTTACTTGTAGAACTGACTTGAGGAAGAATCTGTAGTATTTGCTGAGACAGTTGAGACTGGCTGACCTGCTTTGTCAATGTCAAAACTGGAACAATGGGAGCAGTGCATACTGGGAGAGAGCACCCATCTTTGCTTTATTGTCACATATTCCTGCCAGGGTTCATTTACTATTAGCTTCCATATTTCTTAACTGTCAGTACGAACCTCTAACAGGCCTCGTTTCCTACCAGTTTTACCCTAAGTTTGGAAATTTTAGACGCTGTATTGTAGTCCCATCTTTCACACAGCTTCGTAGTAACCTTCAAGAACAAGTTTCATTAATGGTATTCACTCTTTTGGATCTGTTCCCTTCTTCCGGTTTTCTGCAAACATAGCCATGAACCCATTCAAGTAGGAAAACTTAAGTAACACTAATATGAACTAGAAGGAATTTTTACTAAGTAAAGCAGTGGAGGATGGATATTTCTTTAATGACTGACAAATTCCACACTAAAACAGTTTATCAGTAATGATGATCCCTTCTCATCTTCTAGCACTGCTATTAACCTATGTTGAAAAAGTCTATACTAATACGTTGAGACAGCTTTGAGAGTCCAGTGAAAAGAACTTTCATTCTGTATTAACTAGTAGCAGTGAGTGACTGTCTTGAGCTACTGTCTTGAGGCTTTTCCTTAACCAGGAGAACCACAGTTCTGGCCAGGTTGGGGGAAGCGATGTTATAAAAGCCATCCTATCTACTCTTTGATCAAGAGTGCTGAATGTCAAAGACAGCACAAATGACCCACAAAGATCATTTTAGCTTCTGCTCATTGGTTCATTTAGAATATTTACAATAGGATTAAAAATACATAATTCTAAATTGTTTTCAGCCTTTGGCACCAAAACTTAAGTCGTATTACAAGGAAATCGCTTACCTTCTTTTACTGTAAGCCTAAATCTGATGAATTTCCTTGACTTTCCTGGAGAAATGAAATGGGGCCAACATTTCTCACCACCTGCAAAATATTTTATCGGCAATTGAGTGGACTGAAAGCAGTCTTCAGAGTCTGCCAGTTCTGCAGTCAGCCTAGGTAAATCTTTTTCATTCAGAAGTGAGTAACTAGACAAGAAACATAAACCAGCACCTCACAAAAGAAGGCCAAAAAAGGATGGCAGGGGTTTTTTTGGGGGGGGTGGGGAGGGGAGAGGCGATGTTGGTGATTTAGTAGAGGAAGAGGATTGTGTGTATTCCTCATCTTTTCTGAAGAAACGTTAAAACAGTCTCTATACTTTAACTGTTAATTTATATTTATGAGGCTATTAAAATCTAGTATCAGCTAGCAGTCTATACTTCAACAGTTAATTTACATTTAAACGTCTATTAAAATCTAGTATCAGTTATCAAGAAATGTATGTTTGAAACTACAGAAACATGCCTATATATTGTTAAGTACAGCCAATACTAAAATATTAACCGAACTAATGCTGTTGTGTGGGACAACAGGCGCTCACATTAACTACTGGTGGGAGTATAAATTTAGTCAACAGTTTTGAAAATGAAAATGTTTGACAAATGTCTATATTTGAAACATACATGTATCCTCAATTCAGCAATTCTACTTCCAAGCATATATCCAGCAGGGATTAAAAACATGTATAACTAAAAAAAAAAAAAACTCCAAAAGCATGTTAGTATGTTCCTGGCATCATACATAGTAATCTCAAATTAGAAACAACCCCCATGTCCATCAGCAATGTCTGTGTCCAATGAGATAATCAATAGTAAGGAAATGAGAGAGCTCTTGCTACTTGTAATAGAATCTCATAATGTTGAGGAAACCAGTCAACAAAAGAAAATGTGCTGTATAGTTCCTACTTATAAAAAAAATTAGAGATCAAACTCAAGGTCACTTTTGGCAGAGTAGAATAGGTAAAGGTTATAGGATCCTATGACGCACTGGACATCTCTTTCTTGACCAGCCCGGTGATAACTTTGTAACAGCTTTTTGAGCTGTACTCTCTGGGTTATGTATAGCTTTTAAAATTTATGCTTAAAAGTTTTTGTTTCTTACTGAATTAAGCAAAATCAGTAGGGGGCTAATGAGATAAGCAGCACTGCAGTGTGAGAGAACCACAACATCCTGAGGCAGTTGCCAGGAAGTGCCTTTTTTCTTCCATTGCATGTATCGCAAGAAATATTAGGAAATACCTGTTCCAGCTCCCCCTCTGGTAGAACAGGGCATTTTGAAAACAAGAGGGCCAGAGAAGAATGAGAATAGGGGAAGAAAGGGAGAAGCTAAATTATAATTTGTATCAAAAATAGTAATTAGTCATAGAATTAAAGAACATAAGTGAACATAAGTGTCTACCAAATGCTTTTCAGAGCCCTGTGGCTCTCATGACCCAGTAAAGGGAAGGTGAAGAAGGTTTCCCACCCCTCAACTTGTTGATCAAAGCAAAGCTGCCTTTGTCAATGTTACATATTGTACTTAATATGTTTTCCTTTAAGAGATTTTGCAGTTTATATGTTACAGTAAACCAGAAGATTAAGTGTACCCTCAGATGAATTTACTGAGGAAAGATACAGATTTAAAAGACTTGTTACAGAGAATTATCTTCCAGTAATATGTCTGTTCCCAAACAAGAAAACAAAACAAATTAATAGGTAGTTTTAATAGATGAAACCTCAGTCTTTAAAAGAAGACTGAAATCTGGAGATCTTCTCTACATATTAAGTGCCAGCTGGAGTGAAGCACTGTCTACAGTATTTTAGTTCAGGATTTCTTCACTCATTCAAATGTGAAAGTAACAGAAAAACATCCTCTGAAGTGCAGCATACTATTCACTTGCCCTTTATAGGAAAAGTTCACTTGAATATAATTATACTACAGAAATAAGTAAAAGTTAAGAATAAAATAATGAGAAAAGAAAGTCCGTTGTTGAGTATTGAAATCAGTGAAACTATTAGGGTATTGTAGATAATTATTTCATGAAATGTTAAGAATGAGATTTATTAAGTGATGTATCATAAAAATGGGTTTTTAACCCCAATTTTAGTTAATAAAGGACAAGAAGAGATAGCATTTTCATTGGGAAGGGGGGGAGTGGGGAGGGCTGGAGAAGGACATGGAATGAGCAATAAAATTCTTAACCTTTTGTAAAGAAATTTTAAAACTTACTTTTTTTTTGCTTTGAAAGTTAAATGTAAGTTTAAGCATCTCTTGAAATCTGTTAAGGTGTTCAATAATAAAATTAATAACAAAATGTCTCCTGTCCGAATCCTTGAAAAACATTACGAGATTGCACATGTGACCAAAAAAAAAAATTCATTAAGCCCAAAAGTATTTAAGTCTTAAAACAAAATGGAATGATTTGCTTCTTCCTTAGGGACCTACTTTTTTTTTTTTTTTTTTTTATTAAGGTAACGTTGACTTACAGACTATATGATTCAGGAAACAAGACCATACCTCTGCAGTTTTAAATCAAATTCTATCATACACACTAACAAAAAGTACAGTTTAAGGGAGAAGATTTAAAGCTAATAGTGTGCTCATTCATAAGACTACAATCAGTAATGAGGGCAAACCCTAATGTTTATATACAGCATAATATAAGATTACACTGTATCCACCTCCCCTGCCTCCCCTGGTGGCCTCCGGGACTGCTATCAGTGTTATCACTGCGATGTCCTGAGTTCAGCCCCCTGCCAGGTAGCTGACCCACATATGGTGCAGCAGACCTCACCTCTTGATTACTGCTCTCCTTAGTAGCTTATTTCAATAAATTCTCCTGTTTTGCTCCCCACTCTGTTTCTGGCAAATCTTCTCACCCCTTGCACCCCAACTTATACCCCAGTTCTATGCAAAAATGACCAAAAGATTAAACTAGTAATGCAACAGCCTTTAGTGCAAAGATTGTGTTGGAGACCTTAGCATGTTCTCTGTGAATGATAACAAAGGGATAATTTATAATCTGGTAACAATATTGAATGACAGACAGCATAGGAAAGGCAAAAAGCTCTTTTAGATTATGCACATCAGGCTATTTGGAATTATTTTCAGCAGGATTAAAATTCAAGCAACTGGGGAAGAACTTCAAACTTGTTCTTTCCAGCCTTTTTGTCCTAAAGAGAAATTGCAAGGAAATCTCTTATCTTCTTCTATCCTCAGCCTAGATCCTGTGGGACACCTTGGATGTCTTGCAGAAATGAATTGGAAAGAAATGAATCACCCACCTGCTGTATATTACATGCTTCTCAGTGGACAGTAGAAAAGCTGAAAGCAATCCTTGGAGCCTGGTAGTTTTTTTCCCTGAAATTTTGAAGGGCAGCAGTTATACAGCCCCCTATTCTGTGACCACAAGAATACAGCCCCCCCATTCTGTGACGAAACAAGAATGTACTAAAAAAAATTACCTGGAAATTAATTTTAAAACTCTTCTAAACAGCTATGTTGTCAAGAGAAATGCAGCCATTAGGGTGAAAATAAAGTGGTAAGTAAAGGATGATGTGTCTAAAGCTATCCTGAAAGACAAATGAATAACCAGTGTATGGAGGGGGAAAAGTAACAAAGTTCGTTAGAAGTAAATTAGAAAAAAGTAAAAACATCATTTCCTGGCCAAGGGATTTTTAAAAACATTGAAATATTAAATATTTTAAACATCTTTTATGAAATATGCAGTATACAAGTTTGGGAAATCCACCCAGCAAGAATCAGAAGACCTGAGCTAGTCAGTAGCCAAAGAAAAATGTTGGGGTAGTTACCAGTGAGCTGTGTCTCCTCAGGGAGCCCTGATCACTTAGTGCATGTTGCTGGATGTGAGAAGTAACTTATTCCCGGGGTTGTAACTATTTTCCTACAGATCAAAAAAAGGTGAGTCTACAGGTAAGTTTTGTATAATTAACAATACCCTGACACTAAAAGGCAATTCAAATCAAAACTAGATTTTTAGTTCACTAGTAGCTATGAATACCAACAAATCAAAATATTGGAAAGATGTTCAAAGAACCATTAACCCTTCACAAGTGGGGTTTATCCTTTGATGAAGAACATTTAATAATAAGGAAAAATGAGCCCTTAATGGGATCATAAGATCCGTTTGCAAAATTGGTTACTTGTCAATTCCTGTGATCTAGCAAATCCTCTGAACTGTCCAGATTGATTTATTTGAAGTAATCACTAGCTGGAGGAGTGGGATTAGTGTGATGTCTAATAAATTGGTGTCTAACCTTCACCCCTGAGAATATGGCTGCTATATAATGGGAAAGACATTTAATGGGCATATAGTGGCAACCAAAATGTCTAAAATAGCTCCTTAGAAAAACAGCTAGACTTACTGTTCCCTTGACTGTTTACCAGGTGCTGAGCTAATTGCTTTACAGACACTTCAAATTAGTCCTATTTTATAGAAAGATATAGAATACATTCAGAGTGATGAGAAAGGTTATCCAGATAGGTTATCCAGATAGGTTACCCACAGACAGCAAATGATGAAATTGGCCTTCAAATACGGGGTGTCTTAATCAAAACCCATGGTCTTAGTCACTAAATAACATGACTAATAGAATTCAAAAGCCACCACACACATAGCAATTGGATGTTATACAACAGATCTCTCCCAAACTGAGATACTCTAGTGAAAGCAGAACAAAATTGCATATATACTTTGGTTTACATATTTTTATGGTAAAATGAGATTGAAAGAAGCCAACTTTTCCTTGGTGAACATGTATATAATTTTTTTTATTTAATCTTAAAAGTGTATTGGGCCTTCCCTCGTGGCACCACTGGTTAAGGTGTAGCACTATTAACCTATCTGCAGTTGCTTAAGCACAAGTTCAATCCCTGGCCAGGGAGGTGACCCACATGGTGTGGCAGACCTGACAGGCCCACCGTACCCCCTCAGCAGTGTATTTCATTGGATCTGCCTGTTCTGCTCTGCACTCTGTCTCTGGTGGGTCCTCCCCCCACACCCCTGGCCTATATCCCAGTTCTTGTATGTATAAATGAATCTTAAAAAAGGAAAATATACTGCATCCCCTAGAGATCATAAGCTTTTGTGAGTAAAACCTGTTTATTTTTCTAACCTCAAGCACAATTAACCACCTCCCCCTGGGGCCCTCTACATTATCCCTGTCAGGGCGAAAGGCCAAGAAGCCAATACAAACATGAAGCTCAAACTTTAAAATCTTATGTGTCCTTTTACTTTGAATGTGTCACTTATAAGCAGTATGTAACTGGAGTTTTTTGAATGGAATTTTATCTCACTCATGTCAGTTTAATCTATGTGTGTATGTGTGTATGCCTTTTTGGAAAGCTTTATTTTTTAAAGATTTATTTATGCATACAGAATTGGGGTACAGGCCAGAGGTGCAGGGATGGTAAGAGGATTCACGAGAGAAAGAGTGGGGAGCAGAAAAGATAGACTGATGAAGTACACTGCTGAGGGGAGCAGCTGGCGGGTCAGGAGAGGTCTTCCTTGACATGCGGATCACTTCCGGGGCTGGGATGGAATAAATGCTGAAGTGGCTTTAGCTTCTTAGTGCTGTGTTTTAACCTGCTGCACCAACAGGGAGGGCCCTAGAAAGATTAATTTTTATTTATGCATTCAAGAATTAGGGTGTGTGCCAGAGGTGCGGAGGTGGAAGGGAAAGAAAATTCACCAGAGACAATAGGGAGCAAAATAGGTCCATCTGCTGAAATACTCTGCTAATTGGGCAAAACAGGAGAGGTCTGTGCTATGTGGATCAGCTCCCTGGCCCCTGATAGAACTTAAGCCACAGGATGCTACATAGATAGTGTTAAGACTTTAACCCCTGTGCCACCAGGGAGGTTTACCTAGATAAGTATTTTTAAAGCTGTTTATAGTAGGTCACTTTATTCCATTGACAAATCCCCATCTTCTTTTTTATTGTTGTATAGAAATTAGCATCCACTTTTTTAATCATAAATATTTTCATCAATATTCAGTTATACCAACATATTTTATGGTCATGTAAACCATATATATGGCCAAAATTTTTTTAAAGATTTATTTATTTATGCACACAAGAACTGGGTTACAGGCCAGAGGTGTGGGGCGGGGGATGAGAGGATTTAGCAGAGACAGGAGTGGGGAACAGAACAGGTGGATGTACTGAAAGACACTGCTGAGGGGAGCAGCAGGCCTGTCAGGAGAGGTCTGTCTTGCCATGTGGGTCAGCTCCCTGGCAGGGGATGGAACTCACGCTGCAGTAGCTGCCGACAGCTTCATAATGCTGCGCTTGAACCTGCTAAGGCCCCTGTTTTTCTTTTTGTAATAAAAGTTTCATTCGGATGTAAGTCACATACCATGGAGTCACCTTTGCTTCCTCTGACTTCTTTCTCTTGCATCACTTTTTACTCTGGGCTCACTTTTCTTCGTGCAACTATTAGTACCTATTAGTGGTTATTCAGTGTAGTGTGGAGGGTTTTGTTGGGTTTTGTCTGCAGCTGTTTTGCTTTCACTCTGATAACTTTTGACTCAGCATGGAATTCTACTTCCAGAGTTCTTGCCCCTAAGTAATTCAAAGTTGGTATTATATTGTGTCTGCCACTTATGTTTCTTCATTTAAAATATATTAGTTTAATTGCTTGTCATTCACACTTGATCCCTCTCCACCTTTAGAGATAAGATTTTTCACCGTCATATCCCCAGTATACAGCTTTGGCTAGATATGAATTTACATTTATCCTGCATGACACAGCATATACTTTTACTCTAAGAGGTTATTCTTTCTTAAATTTTGGAAAATTCTCTGCCATTGTCTCCTCAAATAGTGCTTCTTATAATTTCTATAATTCCTTCTTTTGGAAAGTCATTAGTCAGTTGAAGTCTCTTGCTACTTACCTTCCCATTCTTATTTTTAAAAAATCACTGTTGCATTCTGGATTAACTTCTCTGTAATGCCTTTTAATATGGTATTACAGAATGTGTGCAATCTAGTATGTACCCTGAGTTTTTATCTTCAATATTCTTTAAATATTTTTACTTCCTATCCATTCTGAGTCATGCCTGATTCTGTTTCATAATGTCTTGTTTGTTTTGAATGTTTACCTGATTGTTTCATCTCATTGAGGCTATGAAGCCCCCCCTTTTTTTCTAAACTGCCTATTTCAGTGTAATCTGGAACAACTCGTTGTGATGATCAGTTTTGTGACAACATATCTTTTGGAGGGGTTACCCACTTCATTGCTTGGGTAAAACTTACAAATAAATGCAACCCTAACATGCTTTCACTGCCTTGGTTACCAGGGAAGTCCTATGTGAAGGGTCTTTATTATTTCCTGTAATGGTTTTTAAAATAAAACCTATTTTTGGTAATGGCACATGAATGATTTGGTTATGGGAAGCCCACGGGGATTAAAACTGAGATGGAAAAAGGCACAAAATGATGTAAAAATAAACATTAAAAATAAATAAAACCTATTTTAATACCTCTTGGATTTAAGTGTGCATAAATTTAGTGTTACCAAAAATAACATTTTCTAAAAAGATAGACATAAGCAGATTTAGTACACTCTAAAAATGATCAGGCAAATTATGTAAAGGAAATTATTCCTCTATTCTTGGCTGTAAATCTCATCATTAGAATAAACTACTTTTTTTTCCCCCTAAGATTTATTTATTCATAAAGAACTGAGGTACAAGCCAGAGGTGCAGGGGCAGTGAGGAGGTTTCACCAGAGACAGACTAGGGCACAGAACAGGCAGATCAATGAGATGCACCGCTGAGGGCAGCAGCGGGTTGGTCAGGAGAGGTCTGCAGCACCAAATGGGTCACCTCCGGGGGTGGGGATCAAATTCGCACTGAAGCAGCTAAGGCTAGCTTGCTGTGCTGCACCCTAACCATTACGCCACCAGGGAGAACCCTAGGATAAACTACTTTTAATGTGCACATTAAATGTTACTGTATTTTATCAAAGTTTGATTATCCTATTCTCTATGCTTTATCTAAATTGTCTTCTCTTTTTTTTTTTCAACTTTGTTTTATATAAAATTTGTTACGGAAAATTACAAATATATAATATACCTGGAACTGTGCCATGACTTATCCAAAGCCACCACTCAACTTCATAAGTGTAGTGATTATAAATCATTTCCAGGAGTTATATCATTTAATATTTACAACAATTTAGTGAGATAAAGAGTATTTTCATACTATGATTCCACAGAGACACAAACTTCATGTCTGCTCCTTGACATTCACCAACCATGCTGTTGAGCTGCAACACAAATCTTAGCGGAGAGCAGATGCTTTATCACCTTTAACAAGCCTTGGGTCTATAATGTATTACCTTATGCAAAGTACCACTAACTACATTATTTCCTGAAAGGCTGCATCTCTTTATGATAAGAAATTACAGTAAAGTTCTGGATCTGTATCATTAAAGTTTAGGATTGCAAGCACAGAGTGTTGTATCATAAATTCAAAGAGCAAGAAAAAATCCATAGATTTCATAAATTCTTTTTAATATTTCTTTTACAGCCTTATAATAGGTCAGAGCACTTATGAAGAAAGCAGAGCCTTACAGCACTCAGAGAAATGACTGGTTACAGGGTTAGGGAAGAGGAAGTACAAAGTAAACCTGAACCAAAAAAAAGTAAGGAAATGCCCCCAGATGATGAGGGAAGCATTTCAAAAGAATATAGAAGTCCTGGGCCTTCCCTGGTAGCACAATGGGTTAAAGCACAGCACTGTGAGTCTGCAGCCACTGTAGCAAGAGTTTGATCCCGGGTCAGGAGCTAACCCATATGGTGCAGCAAACCTCTCCTGACACACCCAATGCTCCCCTCAGCAGTGTATCTCAGCATGTCTGTCTGTTCTGCTCCCCACTCTGTCTCTGGTGAACCATCTCACCCCTCACATCTCTGGCTTATACCCCAGTTCTTGTATATATAAGTAAACCTTAAAAAAGGAATACAGACTCTCCCTGGTGGCGCAGCGGATTAAAGTGCAGCACTAAGGTGCTAAAGCCACTTCAGCATGAATTCAATTCCCGCCAGCCCCTGAGGTGACCACAT